GGTATATAGTATACAACTACTTATGTGGGAACGGCACAGCACCACTTTGTCAAATGCTCGAAAATATTCGTTTTCTTGATTTCTAACAGAAAAAAAATACGGCAGCGGCGTATATAGATGCCTTATATGGATTGGGTTTACGTGAGCAAGTTAGAATTTTTGTAGGATTTTTACGAACTGAGTTACGATTTTTCTCAATTTTTCGGGCAGTTGAATCTTTTTAGTTTTTGGCTCGAAACTCTTGGTGGATCAGAGCTGTTGGTAAAGCAAGATAGCCATCTTGTAGAGCTTGCTTTGCTCTATCGAATAATACCTTGCAAACTATTCAAAAATGAGAAATATATGACTTATTGCGGTTGGAAATCAAAACCTGCATTAATTTCCGGACAACCTAATATAATAGCTAGGTTCTATGGCGCCGGCCAATTGCAAGCACAAAATGTAGGCATTGCTGGAGTGGGTAATTGTTCGCGCGTAAATTTTACCGCATTTCACCTACAGTGCAAGCACACGCTATATTAAGCGGAAAATTTACTCGACTGTATTTGAATATGTGATAAGATCATGTTCTTAATCGCTTGAATAAACGAATCCTCTTCTTTATTAGATTCGAGACAAAAAATTCAACGGCTAGATTGTTTTGCCCCCATGTAAAGTATAACACTGTTTTGAATAGACGCTAGTCGCATAAATCACGGCTCTTTTTGAGGCATGTGAAGGTGCAGTGATGAGGACAAGAGGGGGGGGGGACAGAGGCCGAGAGAGGAGGCAGCCAACATGAACGATACCCTTTGGTTCAGCCGGGGAATAGTGGCTGGTGGGTGGGGCTCAAGTCCGCGCGGTCGCCTCTCCTGACTCTACACCCCTTTCGCGATCGCGCCTTTAGTGGTTGAAGCTCCGCCTTTCCCACGTTCGTGGTAGGAAGATGATCAGAGAGCACGCTCAAGAAGAGAGGTGCAGCCCCCAAGCGCACTGCTCTCCAGCAGCAACTCACGATGAGTCAAAGGGTAGCTTGTGCTAGCCGTATGCCTCGTGTAGATCAAATCTTTTTCAAACTGTATAACTACGTCATGCTGACATTAAGCATATGGAAAAAGCACTGGGAGCGCAGTAGGCTCTAGTTTTTACTTTCCGACATCATTTTCAATCAGCGAAAAACATAGCTCCAAGAGGTCTTTACGCACGGCATATTGACAACCGCAGGTACAGTGTGCCTACATGCAGCTACTGTTCATCTTGACGTACACCTGCCGAGAGGCGACGAGAGAGTGTCGCAGCACCTAGTGTGCTGACACTATCGGAACCCTCTATTATCGTATCACTTATTCATGCTTAAGTACCGTACAGGTTGCCATAAGCATGACCTGTGGTATGAGTTCTACAGCCCAGATGCAAGTATATATATGCTTTGCCCCCTCATTATATGAAGCATTCTATACTGCGCCAATGCAGTTCGTCTGATTCAATCAAGCTGTAAAGTTAGTGTTCCAACACAACGGAGCTAACTTATTCACAGGCGCTATTCCGCTCAAGGCTACACTAAAGGCCACGCAACCGCCACACCCTGGGTGTGCTCCGTTGCTGCAATAGTTGTGTTAAAATATACAAGCGCGAAGTGTGTGAAATGTTTGGGCGATGATGGTGACAAAAGTTCTTCCGGCTCGGAATGCCCTACGATCCGCATGTATGAAACCTTGTTCAACCTTCATTCTGGAGGACTGCCGTCACAGATCTTCGCTCACATCATCTGATTGTACAACTCTGCGAATTCATTTCAATCCGTACTTGAGAGCGCATATATTCCAATCACGTGTTCGGAACAAAAACAGTGCTCTGTTTACCAAGACAAATTCATGTTTAATGCATACTGAATGACTCTGTCCAAGACTGCTCAAATCCAGATTTCCGTCAAGTTTGGTTATTCTAAACCATGCTATCCTCTCAATTGCATTTTTGCACAATGTGTGCTGAATGAGTTCTATGAGCAAAGATTGGGCTCGCATTTTGCACTATACATAAAGGTTACTGCATGACGAAGGCGCAATACTTTACACGCGAACGCGGCCATATCAGCCGTAGAGCACAGGATTTCCAACGGTGAAAATACGCGCGCGCCGAGTTAACGCCCGCTCAACTAATACTGCTCCTGCGCCTATGTCATGTAGTAGCCTTTATGCACATTTCAAGAAAACTCTTCAAAAACTTCTTTTGAGAGCTATTGCTCAGCAAAAATTCATTCTTCTTTCAAAAAGGTGAGCGTAGCAAGATGGTTCCATGTGAAGGTTGCCACTTGTACATTCTTCATATGTAAATCTATCATCATTTCTTCTATCCTATTGCATTCTTACGGTATATCAGTTTCCTTCGCATACGAGTTGTTAATGGATCGCTCAACGCCGATGCATCGTCAGATGCCACCAAATAGGGAAGGAGGAGCAACTTCAAGGTGGTAAGGAACTTACGACCATCAAGCCACCACGTCTATAGTTTCCAATCTCTTTTTCTTGTGTTACTGTTATTTTGTATGGCGTTTTCTATTTGCGAATTGTTGATGTTTGTTGGGATAAACACGTCCAATAAGACTGTGTTAGGTGCACCTTGAGGCGTTGTTCGTGTTAGTATAGTATTATTGTATCTGCCATTAAACAGGGTGGTACGACATCCATAAGTGCAAGCAGCGAGTGCGGACTCCAAGTAGTCCGCAATCCCACTGACTGCTCTTCTTTTTGTTGGAGGATGAGTTCCTCATAGGAGTAGCCCATGAGGTAATCGGTCTAAGTCCGACCGGGGGTAGTTTTGGGCAAAACGTTTTGTAGCGCGGAGTCTGGAGGATGCAGCTCTCGGATTCACAAACCCTCCCTCTTGATTTTCTCCACAAAATTGCCTTTTGTACTTCTTCGTAGGAGTTTTGGAGGAAGACCTGTTACATAACTCTCATATCCTCCAAAACCCCGGCCTTCTTAATAGTACATTGGAGAGTGCCTCCTGCCAAGAAGATATTCTGATTGAGGGTAAGCAGAGTAAACAGTGCAGTAGTAGCTGAAACATTGCAAAGCTTTCGATCTGGGAAGGGATTGACCATCCATGGACTGGGCGAGAGACAGACATTCTCCAGCTGCGCCGTCCACCACTTATCAACAGTCGCCCTCCTGAACTAATTCGGGTGTATATCGAAAGGCGCTCGTTTCGGCAGTCGTCATTGCCAGGAGGTGCTTGTACTCTACGAAAGCGAGGTTTTCAACTCCTAAAGCTTTGTCATCATATCGGAAATATTAAGTTGTAAAGAAAGTTCCTGGGCAGTTTTGGAGATTTCGTTTTCAAACGCATTTTTTCGACGCCCGGTCGGACTTTGACATCAAGTTTTTTGTAATGTTCAGTAGAGGAAAGCTTGAAGTTTTCAATACACCTCCTGACTTTTATCGATGCCAGGACGTGTTTGATCTGCACATCAAAAAGGAAAATCTTTCCAGCCTCAAAAATTCAAAGATTTTTCTTCCTACTGCCATTTTTTGCGCACTTCAAAGAATTTCGTCCAAATCGTGGGTGATCTGCTTAGGAAGCTTGTTAACTTCTCACCCGCAGCTGCACTCGAGTTTTGCGATTTGCGCTCAGAAATTACAAGCTGTCAAACTTGCCTCTGACTGCAACTCTTTTTCCAGCTGGCGTCGCTTCTGCGGTGAACGCGACGCCTGGATGATGGTTTCAAAGGATATGTAAGGCAGTACCCCAACAATGTTCGCAGTAATCAAAGATTTGGTCCACCCTATGCAGAACGACAAGACTTCAAAGTCACTTACTCGAAAAATTGTGCATTTTTAGGGGCAAAAAATGGCCGATTTTTCAAACCTTCTGGAAAAAATTTTTTTTGCAGGTGGCGTTGCAAAAACATGAATGGTCCCCATGACAGCCCCAGCAGACTTCTATATAACCACAGCATCTGAGCTCTCCACCTTCTATCGTGCCTGAGATAATCTTGCACAAATAGGCCGCTTTTCGCGACGACCTTTTTCTCTTCTGTGCATGCTGGTGGACCGCAGTGAGGTGCTGAAAAGCCAGCAAGACAAATATATGTTGTGAACAAAATTGTCTTTGCAATGAAGTTTGTAGCTTCAAAAAAGAAACAATGTGCTTGAAGTTACAGCGATTTGAAAAAAATTTTCGCAAGTGCCCGGGAACTTTCTTTACAACCTAATAGTAACAGAGGATTACTCTTTGAAATCCCGGTAGTGCAAAACCAAATTCCAACTTTTTTGCTGGTTTTTCTGATTAGTGACAATCGATTAATACGCGCCATTCGACCGTCTGCCACTGATCCCGGCCGAGCGCGACCTGACAAGGAGGTACACATTAACAGCTGACAGGAAACGGTAAGACACGCAAACTTATCAATACATGATCAACAACGTGGGCAATCCCCACCAGATATCGATCATCTGTTTTTTCCATTTTCTAATGTATAGCAACTCGGCGTTGTGGCAATAAATCTTCCACCCCTCATTAGAGTTGATGAGTATTTTAACATATTCGCGTGTCTCGTTCTCTATATTATCAATGCCGTCACTTGCCTCATTTTCGCTTACCCATAGATCCAATAGCATTATTGCAGTTCTGCTGTAATCTGCTTAGTTCTGCTCCCTTTTTGTATACTTTCATGACAAAAAAACTCAACTTATGCCGACCTCGTAAGATGTCGCGAATCTCGAACATTTGATGCACAAATTGAAATTTGAATGCCCAAGTTGGTCATTTGTGTAGTTTTCCTTGTTTGGCTCCACTCTCATGTCACTCAAGCCACGTTGCCTCATGCCAATTTTTGCAAGCTCTTTCTTCGCCGTAAACAAAGCCCGCGAGCAAATGTGCGTCATTCTTTTCAAGCTTGAAATCCTTTTCATGCTCTGAATCGTAAAGATTCATGCTTCTCAAGCGCTATTGCATCTTTGTTTCTTTATTCAAGCAATCCCCTCACAAAGCATCGTCTTATCTAAGCTTTCATCAAGCACATGTTACCAGTGGAGAAACAAAGGTGCCGCATGCTTAAAGAGCACCATGGAGGATAGTATATAATGCCCAGACTTAGGAGACTGGCATCCACTTCATAGGAACCTGGAGGAGCAACGGAGCAACGCCTTCTCCCTTACTCAACTCAACATCGTTCGGATTAACACACGTTCTCTAAGCGCAGGACAACACCGATTCTTCTCGATCGTTACCTCCAGAAACAGTGAGTTCAGTTGATTCGGTTTTATTCACCGTTCTTCACCAAAGGTGAGTGTTTATTTACAAATTAAGGTGGGCTTACCCTCGAAAAACTCGCTTCAAACACACTGACTACTTCTTGAGTGACAACACCCAAGATTTTAATAAATGGCATCGCCATTTTGAAAATCTCATTCGGCAATTCCATTGTGCCGCTTCCTGAGCAGTGTAAGGTAAATGCGCCTTACGTTTCTCTAAGGGGGATATACGTGATATCTGTGAAGAAATGCCTCCTGAAGGCAATAACAGTTACAAAAAAGTGGTCGCATTTCTACGTTCGCATTCGCATTTTGAATGTCCGCAGTTTCGCACATTAGCTAGACAAGAGTTGTCTAATTGTGGGCAAAGAGAGGACGAAGATGTGCATTCACTTAGTAAAGTCATTAGGAGAGTTGTTCAAAAGTTGCTAAAAAGGACGCCGAAAAACATGGTACAAGACAGACTACTGGAAGAATTTGTGGAGTCTTCAGAAGCAGACTTGAAATTTCATGTCAAGGCGCAAAACCCCAACTTTTGGTGATGCTTTGAGAAAGGCACATACATGTACATCTCTGCAATGATATAGCCGACGTTATGTTTTACCATTCAGGTCTGCATAGATACTGCGCGAAGAGGAACTCGGATGATGCGAGGAACGACTATAGCCAAGAAAGAAGAGGACCACTCCCCAACAACTATTGGTCTAGAGAGGTAAGACCATGTAATAAAGTTTAATAAACCTTGAGCACGCTCTTCTATCTCAAGTGTCACATGCTGTAAATATGGCACAATAGGATGTTTCGCTAATTTGTCGCTTAGCATCCCTCCCGGCCAATAACTTTCAACCGCGGCGTCAGTTTCCAATTGAAACAACTTCAACTAAACTCAATCATAGGCAAAATCCGCAAGAGCTTCTAAACTACTCTAGACCTCTGACGCAACGTCCAATACCGCAGCGGCACCTAGACACAATAGTTCCAATGTACTCGCTGTAGAACAAAACTTAGCGCCAGATATCATTATTCCTGACACTCAGTCTCTGATAGAGCAGAAAGATGGCCATATCGTGGTTAGAAACAGTTACAACGCGTTAGCAGACATTGCATTTGGACCCGTGAGCCAAACACTTCTATTAGCAGCGAAGAGACATCTCGACGCTCAATCTCTCGTAATTCTGGTCCTTCAAACTTGCTTGTACTTGCTTGCCAATTCTTGCTCTAACATCGAGTGTGTCCGCTTATGAATCACCTCCTGCGTATCTATGTTCTCAAAAATAACCAACTATCTACTGGAAGAAACCATCTGGGATAAATTGCCCTAAAATTCTACCAAGTTGGAGCTGCGCATCCAATCAAACTTAAAGTATCAAGACCCGGTACTAGAAGATACAAAAGTACTGTCAATGTCTGCAAAGTAATTACGCAAACGGTCTTTTATTCTGTGAACCTTTTCGTTGCTCGCACACAAAAAAGTACATTAAAAGAGCAGACAGTTCCAAAGGCGTCTGCCAACACATGATTAGTCGCAACGTCTGCACTCATGGCGAGCTCTCCCCAGTTAGGTAATTTTTTTAACTTTTGAAAAGTAGAAGTTAAATGGTCTTTGGCACTGTTCCATTGTTGCTCTGAATATACTTTGACAGTGTCCAATTGTGTTAAACTCCAGGCAGTTTATGGATGTAGTGGATAGTCCACAATCGAGAGCATGATAGGACCGCTACAAGGATGCCGCTGTAAAGGCGAAACTCTTCAGCTGTGTAGCGGATATACAATATTTTAGCAGTCCAGGACAGGTACCGTTGGACGTACTTCGCACCAGCAACGAACATCGCGAATTGGTGGAAAGCAAGCTATCAAATTTCGATTTGACACCAGCTCAGGTGATTTGTTCGAACTTCCAGAACTTCTTTATAGCACACCCTGCGGTGCAATTTTGGCAGCATAGCGTGTGCAACAGACTCGGCAGCACTCCGACTGTTTGGAAATCTTCGAATTTCATTGGCTTTCCGATACTTGCCAGTTTTCGTATTTTTATAAGAAATCAGGCTGGGCTGTGGGAAGTTCAATCCGAGGCGCCTTTCAGGCCGACCTTTTAGACGGATAGGCCACCTACTGAAATGAGCACCGAGTACTTTCAGGCTACACACATGCCCTAGCGCTTGTTTCCGTCAACGTCAACGCGCGCAGTGATTGCAGATACATCGATCTTGAGGTATTCGATGCGCCAGAGCAGGAAGGGATCGCGGTGGACGTCGCAGGATCTCTGTGCGGCGAAAATAGCACCAGTTCAGCTCTGTCAATACGTTCAAAAAGGACTTCCTGCACATTTCTCTAAGCTGCATAAGTTCAATGTTCATCCATGCACGGTAGCAGCGCTTGACCTAACGTCCAAGAAGAGTCTGTGGCGCGCCTCGATAATACGTGAAAGCGCGTCCTCTCAAACGAAGCATCAATGAAGCTGCATTAGTGGCAATGCTGTCGCGATCTCAGAAAATCGGTGATAGCAAGCAATTGCTTCCAAACCTCGGCGTACATACTACTCTATTGGCGGTCGAAGTCAGCTCGCAATCAATGCTCGAAGTCGCACATGTAATTGATAATGTGTCCATATGCACCGTGAGCACAGTTTACAGGCCACGCAAAAAAATGATGAAACTAAACTCCAAGCTGTACATTGGGCAGCTGATCTGTGGAACGCTCATGCAGCAAAGAGGGTTACTGTCACGACTATACCCAACAACAACATCCCAGTACCACTAATTAATATGCCCAGCCACACAGGGCAGTCAGCTACTGGTCCATTCAATACTAAAACCGAAGCCAGAGGCGTGGTGATTTGACTGTGCTTATTCATGCCGTAGGCATGAGAGCGCAGTCAAATTGTCGTTCATCGTTCAGTCGTTCATCCAAGTAATTTGCTTATATCAAGACAAGAAATTCCTATGTCAATCCATGTTACAAGGCACAGGAATCACTGTATGCGTTGATAGCGCCCAAGGATCGGAGATGTCGTCGTCATCCTCTGCACAACAAGGGCACAAAAAGAAAATCTCGCCACCTTCTTTTCCGACTCCAAGAATGAACCTGGCGGTGTGCATTGGCCCGCGGTAAAGACGGTCTCTTCCGCAGGATCATTCACCCTTTTGCAGGAGGTTGAGACTTGGTCAGCGCTAGTGTGAAGAAGCTGGTTGATAACGGATATCAACTTTTCCAACAACCGCTTCCGCTCGTGGAACGCCTTTGAGTTCGAGGACGGACTATTGTTAAAGGGGGGGGGGGGGGGAGGTGTAAGGTTACCACTTGTACATATTTGATATTTAAATCTATCATCATTTGCCTGTCTTATTGTATTCTTACGGCATCTTAGTTTCTTTCGCATAAGAGTTGTTTACGGATCGCTCATCGCTGACGCATCGCCAGATGCCACCAGATTGGGAGGGAAGAGCAACTTCAAGGCGGTGAGAAACTTACGACCATCGAGCCGCCACTTCTATAGTTTCCAATTTCTTTTTCTTGTGTTACTGTTGTTTTGTATTGCCAGCGTTCTATTTATTTACTTATTTATTTATTATATGCACTCAAGCTGCGCCATTAAAAAGGAAGAACGCAGAAACACAAACATACTAGCTAGTAACACAAATTGGGTAGAACTCGCTGCCTGCTGGCCATACTTCTGCAGTTGAAATAATGTTCAAAAAAGGCCAAGGCAAAAGGAATCACATCGTACAGTAGTATAGTAGCACCGTTTCGTCACTAATGCACAGGAGCGCCAGTGATTTATCGACATTATTGCTCAGTGTTAGGTACTCTACCAGTTTGAGAAAATTTTAATTTCTCACCAGTATCTTTGACCTCAGGCATTCAAGAATGTTGTAGTTAGCCGTATTGCCCAAAATAACGGAGCATGATGTGTTATCATGGTGGATTATTAACAACATGAATTCATCACTTTAGTGGTCTGCATTGGAGGTAGTACTTAGGCGACATGGCTAGGCCGCACGTACCAGGCCTCCATTATACTACCTACCGCCTCCACTTCTCTGCTTGAGCAACATGAGCAAATATGAATGTGCGATCAAAGCTTCAAACAGCGCAGACTTGTTGGATGTAAAATTCCGATTGGTCAGGTAATTCGCTTGAAAAACTTAACTTAGTGCACTGATTAGTTGAGAAAAACAGACTAATATCAGTTTCCGTGAGAGAAGCGTGGTCAGCTGGTGTAAATAATAGAAATAAAATCAATAGTGTAACCAGCCAGCTTAGCAATCCAGCACATAAAAATCTGAGTCACATCAAAACATTGTATCAAGAACAATAATCAAAAACATCTTTGATAGATGCCAGATAATCAGCTGTATCAGACGATGTGTCATCACTCATCCGATGTAAGCCATGAGGCGAAGTAAGCCATAAAATCCACAAAACTGCAATGTAGTTGAACAATATAGAAGACACATGAATTGCATTTCGAGAATCAACACAAGAATGAGAATCGCCTTCTATAGTTTTACCAAGTCAAAATTTTGTAACGCTTTTTCAAAAGTCGAACTATTTTTGGCTGATAGCAATTTCGAAGGTAACCGTCTGAACCAGCGTGCACAACGATAGAACAAAAAGTTGAACTTCCCTTGAAAGTTAAAATTAAATTAAATTATTTGCGAGTTGTTAATGTTTGTTGAGATAAACATGTCAAGTAAGAATGTGTTAGGTGCACCTTGAGGCGTTGTTCGTGCAAATATGTATCTGCCGTTAAAGAGGTTGGTACGATATCTAAAAGTCATGGGAGGGAAGTGTACGTTTCGCGGAACAGGACAGTATTTCAGAAGGTTCATCCTTTCCCGGGAACTTTTCAGAAGGTGAAAGCATACTTCAAAGGGTAACTGCCCAGCGAAACATTCATTTTTCTTCTGGAAAGAGTTTGTGGGCGAGATTCGTGGTGAAGGAATGCACATCTTTGCGCAGAACAGAACTATCCTGAGAGCGCTTCATCCGTTTTCTTGGCAATTTATTGAGAAAATCTTTGAAAAACACATTTGGTAGAATCCAAGTGTCTCGTTTTTAGTAGTTGAATGATTTACCAACAAGGAACGGACCCGGTTTTGAATCGGGGAGAGCAACATCTAATTTTTCGTGATTGAATGTTCGTGATGCTTAGTCTTCAACAGTATGTCCAACATCTTCATCTTAGCTTGTGTCATCGGTTAAAGTGATGTAGTTAGAGTTCTATCCACAATCCTTGTGTTGAAGAAGGAACTGGAAGAGCCTAATACGCAGCGAACTCTGACCAGCCATTGTTTTTTGTCTGTCTTAGTTTCGCGAATGAAAACAGCTGTCCGAATTTTCCTCTTTCCGGTAACGACTTTTTTACCTTCTGAGGTGTTACTTCAGCATGCGCTCGAAAGATTCTCCTGTTGATCCACGTGTGTCTTTGCAATGAGATTGGTACTTGTTGCTTTCCCTTTATTCAGCTTGTATAGAGACACCCAGCGCAAGGGTGGGAAATGGACCACTTTGAACAAACTGCGTTTAATCAAGTGCGCAGGCTGCTTGATTGGAGCGTATTTTCTTCCCCTCAGGCAGCGTCTCGTTTGCTATCGCGGACTAAAAGAGGAGAGGAGGAGTTTCGAAATTAAAAATGTTTCTCACACCAAATTTCGTGTGATGTCGTCATAGGTGTGTTGCGAACGGGTCATTCTTCTATTGTTGATAGCGGGAAATTTTCAGGAAAAAGCTCATCGTACCTTTCAGTCTCATAATTTTTTCACAACTTTTCTCACTTTGTCCTCCTCGCCCTTGTCCGTCTACGAATCAAATTTGGTGGCGTAATTTGATGTTGCCCCGTAATTGATTAATTTATTTCCCACCTTGTGCAAAAGAACAGTTTTCAGAATGGCGTTTGAACAAGACCATGGCCCGTAGTAAACCCCCTCTCAGCTCAGATGATCTGCTCTGACCCCCTCAGAAGAGATCCGTAAGCTAATCTTACGATCCTCCTTGCCACAGCGCATCAAGAATGGACGATAAGCTGACAGCCAAGGGGCCGGTCAGCTGCCGCAATGAGCTGCGCTGCCTGCCCTAAGCTAAGCCGTCGCCGTCGGCCCGGCTTACGGAGATAGCGTGTCTGCAAGGAGCAGACACAAATCCCGTAACTTGCTCGAGAGTAACTTGTGGGACACGTCAGCTGGCTGATTCTGCGGACGACAGCGCCCGAAATTGCACAAGTAGGGTGGCATACGGATGGGGATGATCAGTGAACAGCTGATCGCAGCAAAAATGGGTTATCAAATTTTTTCTACATATTTCGTGTCGGCTTGGGCTATGTCGATCACTTCACATTTTTCGAAAAATGCTTAAAATAGCAATCAAACTCTTTCTTTATCTTCTAAAAACCATGATTTTTTTTATGGATCTTGATTCTAAGTTAATGTATTTGGTTTTCCTCGTTTTTCGCAGCAAAGACAGCGCCCACCATCGATTTTTTTGATGGCTTGATGCAGGTTTGGTCAAATGGCTAGCTTTAGCCATTTGACCAAACCTGCACAATCTCCCAAGCTGTTTTTTCTTTGAGAACATGCAGTTTCTATCATGCCTACAAAACGATCCGCATCCGGATCGATGGCTCGCTTGACATCGCGCTAAGGCGCCGTAAGGCCAACCCAGGCCCGCCTCAGAGGAGACGCACTGACGGGTAATTTATTATGGGCCCATGTCTGAACAGGTCAGTCGAGTGAAAATCTAATTTTCACCGGGCTGAATATCTTTTAGGGATATAATGCATACGAATGTGTAAGAGTAATCCAAGACGAGGGCGACCACCCATGCACGCGATGCGTGCGCGAACACGCGGGTTGCAGCCTCGTCGCACATCAAAGCCACCGACTTCGTCATGGGAGAACTTTTAATTACAATAATCCCTTTGCTTTTTTACATAGAACGGTTTCCCGCCTAACATTTGCCACCCTCGCGCTGGGCTCTGCATAAAAACCGCTGACGGACGATTTCATAAGCCACAGAGCGCAGGATGCGCACGATTTACAACGATGAAGATACGCGTTCCCATCAGCTCAAATATCGCGTTTTCACTTTCGTTCGCAGTAGTCTTTATGTATCGACTCCCTCAATTTGAGTATCACAGCTTCAGCGGCTCAAGTCTTTGCTGCCGTGTTGCTCCCCTGTGCCAGGTTTGCGCGCTTAGCGGCATTTTCTCACACCTTTTACCGCGGGCATACCTCACGCGGTTTCAGTCATCACACGATCTGACAATTTGCCAGATGTCTTCAAATTCTACGGATTGCGCCAAATTTGGATCATTACCACGGAAAAAACACATATATGTACGGTCGAATTGTGCAGTAGAATGTCCTAATCGAACTCTACTAGAGGCGTTTTACAAAATTCAAAAAGACCTCTCTTCAAAATTCGAGGATTGAAGGAATCAGACTAACCTTTCTGAGAAAAAGCAAAGATGGGATTTCTAGAACTTTATGTTTTGCTCTGCAAACTTGAAGTCTTTCTGATCATCCGAACTGAGGTTGTAGGGCACACTGTGCACTGTCACAAAGTCTTAGGCCCGTATGCACTAAAATTTTTGCGGCGAGGGGAGCGGCGTGCCCCGTTATGAAGGGACCGCGTGCGGACGCCGCTGCGGGTTTTTCATCATTGGGGACGCCGCTCCCCTCGCCACAGGGATGTTAGTGCATGCGGGCCTTAGTTGCATTTACTGGGATTTGTTCTTTCGCAAAATACGAAATTTTTTTGCTGATACCTGCGTACGAAAAACGATCTCATGATCAAACTTGATTGTAAGACTCTAGAGACTCAAGACCTTCCAGGTAAAAATCATCTCTTTATTTATGAAATGTGTAGAAGAGCAGATTTTATAAGCAACTAGCTGGCTTACCCGGCTCCGCCGTATCCGGACCAAACTTGGCACACATACACTTCGGGCCCCGGCGGGTGTCACAGTCCACTTTTCGTTATCGATCGATGTCGATTTTACCGATTTTTATCGATTTTTTGCAGAGTTCACCTACAGGGCTAGGAGTTGGCACAGGGGGGGAAGTGAGCATGGGGATTCCGAATACAATATTAGTTTTCAGAATTATCGATTACTTTTATTGATTTTATCGATTTTTTGTAAATTTTGACATGCGAGGCTGGGATTTTGCACAGGGGGGGGGGGTAATCGAGCATGCTGATTACGAACACAATATTAGTTTTCAGAATTATCGATTACTTTTATTGATTTTATCGATTTTTTGTAAATTTTGACATGCGAGGCTGGGATTTTGCACAGGGGGGTAATCGAGCATGCTGATTACGAACACAATATTAGTTTTCAGGATCGTTCATTACTTTTATCGATTTTATCGACTTTTTTTGTAAAGTTTGACCTGCGGGGCTGGGAGTTTGCACAGGGGGGTAATCGAGCATGCAGATTACGAATACAATATTAGTTTTCAAGATCGTCCATTACTTTTATCGATTTTATCGATTTTTTGAAAATTTGAGCTAGGGGCTGGAATTTGGCAGGGGGTGTAATCGAGCATGCTGATCACCCCCCTTGGGGATGATCAGCATGCTCGATTACCCCCCTGTGCCAACTCCCAGCCCCGTAGCTCAAACTTTGCAAAAAATCGATAAAATCGATAAAAGTAATCGATGATCCTGAAAACCAATATTGTATTCGGAATCCCCATGCTCGATTACCCCCCTGTGCCAACTCCCAGCCCCGTAGCTCAAACTTTGCAAAAAAATCGATAAAATCGATAAAAGTAATCGATGATCCTGAAAACCAATATTGTATTCGGAATCCCCATGCTCGATTACCCCCCTGTGCCAACTCCCAGCCCCGTAGGTGAACTCAGCAAAAAAATCGATAAAAATCGATAAAATCGATATCGATCGATGACGAAAAGTAGCCTATGACACCCGCCGGGGCCCGTAGTGTATGTGTGCCAAGTTTGGTCCGGATCGGTTCAGAAATGGAATTTTCTATTCGGAACATACGTACAGACATACAGACAGACATACAGACAGACAGACAGACAGACAGACAGACAAACAGACATTCAGCTTTATATATAAGATTTGTGAAAATGGCTTTAAAACTGATTTAGAAGACATTTTCTAATTCTCAAACGCACTCAGCAGGGCTAAAACACCGCTGACTTTCAAAATGCTGTCTACAAGCATGTTTGTAAAAAATCAAAAATCCATCTTCGAATCAACTTTCAGATTTCCAAACTTCTATTTTAAAGTTAACGGCGAAGGTTTTCTCTGCTCTGAAGCTCAATTTTAAGACAAGAGAAAAGTCTTCAGAAGAATATCTTGTAAATTTTTGAAGTTGTGCCTGCGTACAGAGCACACTTTGACCGTCAAGAGCACTTGAGAATTTCTTCGAATAATTCAAGGCAGTGTCCGGGCAAAAAGTCGATTTTGAGATTTTGTGCTTAAAGGATATTCGTTGACGACAGCCCCGTTTCGTGCATTTACACCATCATGGGCCTGCTTTTTTGAAGCCTTTCCAGCTTTACAGTACTACAGCGCGCAGGGAATTCGCAGCTCGCAGCATCCCTGTCCTTTAAACTCTTCCGCATTTCTCATCTTTTTCTCATCTTTTTTTCCTTTTTAATCTTCAGTTCAGGCACTTGCTCATCAGTTACTCGTTCTCCTTTTCTTTGAAGTTGTCCCGGTCGAGCATCCTACAAGTTCTGCTTTGTGGATATTGAAAGAGCAGGAAAAAAAGTTTTAGTACAGTTATTGAATTCATGCTCCTTTTTACATACCATACAAACATTTTCAGAATCGTAAACGATCATCCCGGCATAGTTAGGGGGGGGGGAGGGGAAAGAATGTGCTTTCTTCATGAGCAGTGATGGCTATCATGCCTTCTCCTCAAGACCACTGAAATGTTTATTTTAGCACACCTACATGTCTCCTTGATGTAGAAGTGCTGAAACAGCCACTTCAGCAGTCTCTCTTGAGAAAAAAGGCAAATCATTATGAAACACTGAAAAAAACATTGCACTCCCAATCATAGCCACGATATCCGCCATTGCAACTTTGAAGAAAACTCATTATTCCTTTCGATTCTTTCCGGAGCGATGGTTCTGCGTGTATGAGAATGTGTAACGGCATAAAATGAAAATTAAGGAGAAAAAACGATGTGAAATACTTAAACAACAAAAAGAAGTTAAAGGACGGGCATGCTGCGAGCTGTGAATTCCCTGCGCGCTGTAGCGTACTGTAAAGCTGGAAAGGCTTCAAAAAGGCACGCCCGCGATGGTGTAAATGCACGAAACGGGGCTGTCGTCGACGAATATCCTTTACCAGGGTCTGATCGCTATGCTAATCCGAAAATCCGCACTGGAAAGCGCGAAAACAGCGAAAAAGGGCTCTAACGCAGGAGGGAAATTGAAGGTGGGCGGGGTCTTCCCACTGTGAATTCACGGTCCCAGCTTCCGGAGCGATCTTTTCAGTTCCACTAACCGCCCTGACACCTCCAAGTGGGCGGGGTCTTCCCACACAGGCCAAGTGCGAATGGATGATCTGAAATAGGAACCGAAAAGATCGCTCCGGAAGCTGGGATCGTGAATTCACAGTGGGAAGACCCCGCCCACTTCTGATTTCTCTCCTGCGTTAGTGCCTTTTTTCGCCGTTTTCGCGCTCTCCAGTGTGGATTTTCGTTTTCAGCATAGCGAATAGGCCCGGGTAAGGACAAAATCTCAAAATCGACTTTTTGCCCGGACACTGCCTTCAAGAAGCAAAATTCAGATTTGATTATAGCATCACGGTGCTAATGGTGGTGAGAACATATGCATGTTTGAACCGTCAACAAACCCGCCTTGTATCTTCCTAGCACCCAGGCAAACACGCACAGCCAATTTTGGCGCACCCTGTACTGACAGACTCCAAACGCACAGCATGTATAATTTTCATGAGTCATTAAAATGACCTACCTTCCGTACATTCAAAAACCCATTACGATGAGTCATGAATAACTGAAGTATTGCCAGATCACGTCGCGACTGAAATCGCGTGAGCTATGCCCAGGAGCTTAGCAGGGGATGCGTGACGCTGAGGTGTGAGAATATGCCAGAGATACATTTGTACACGAGCCGCAAAGCCCGAGCAGTGGCCGCAAAGACTCCAACAGGCTAGAGCTCTTTAATTCAAATTCAGCCAGCCTACTTGTCCAAATAGTAGTGCTTCAGCAAACCGAGAGTCATGTACGCTCTTTGTACGGCTGAGATTCAAACTCTTAAACTTCAGATTTTGGCTCTGAAGCTCACGTGTATCATCAATATCTGCAATTGTTTGGAAGGCTTAGAGTGAAACTTGCTTTGCCGTATCGAATATATGTCAAGTTCTAAGTAAGCACTCGTAGGTGCTCATTGCTGGTCCGAAATAATTGTCATTCTAGACCACCAGCATTTCAAAATCACTTTATGCTGAAGACACCTTGAGGTACATTGATCGTGTTACAGTGACCGGTATGCTTAATTAAGAAATCATTATTCATCAAAATATTCAATCCTGATCGCGTGCCCTATTTCTTCTTCGGTCATCGTGATAGAGTTTGCTGAGTTCGTCTCTTACACTCTCGCTTGCCTCCATAAAGATCTGCAAGAAACGAGGATACTCTGATCATGCAGCTTTTGCAAAATTTATGTATTTGACCCTCTTCTTGGATGACTATCGAAAATGTGCGTAAATTACCTTGTGTCTTTCCTCCCTAAGCTTAGCGAGTTTTTCATGTGCAGCACGAGCTTCAGGTGACAGTTCCTTCAGCTGAAAACAAAGCCATTATATTTCACGAGCGGCTCAGTTTGCAGGTTACCTTCTTCTGGAATTCCTCACGTCGCTTCTCTAGAGCTGCGTGGAATTTGTTGAACTCTTTCAGTTGTTCGGCATTCAAAAGCTGGAAGATGTTGAGATAAGATGAAATCCGCGAAATGGCCTTGTTAGCAGAGTATTATCTCCTTCACAAGAGATCAGAGAAGATTTGTTAATTACTTGTGAACTACAATATGTTTTATATTTGGTCCCTTTTATGTGACATTACGCATCCGTTACGCAGGTTTCGTACTATTCGTCGTTGGAGTCAGTTTGACTGCTCAAGCAACATGCTCTGAACGGCACGCAACGCATGCGCAAGGCGGATGTGTTGGTGGAATGGGGAAGCTAGGATTAAGACAGAATACATTTCCAAAGCATGCTGGACAAATAAATTAGGAAACAACTGGTAATATTCCAGCTTAGACTCGAAAATTAAAAATAACGAATTTTGATAAGACTTCTGATATCTGATTACGGATATGATATTCATTTCGTTACGGTAGCGCATTTTAGCAATAGCGCCACTTTTTCATTTTCCTAACTTTTCTAAACCTTTTTATCTCCGTCCACTAAATTTGTCATTTGAAATTACCTTCTCAGCCAGTTCCTTGAACTTCTCTGGTTTCTCGTCTCTTGGAATCGTGTGGTTCTTCCAGAGAGCATCGAATTGCGCGCGAACCTCATCGGATACACCGTTGAGGAAAGCAGGTCCTCTGCGGATAGCCTTCCTTCGTACATCTGCTGGTAGTTCGTCGAGCTAAAAATAAAAAATTCATGCTTTTTTTCTACAAAAGCGATTTCGTGATCGTACTCACCACTTCCTTGGTCTTTTCGTGCTCTTCATCACATCCTTTTCCATCTTCGTAATTTTCCCAGATTTTTTTGATTTTTGCTTGAGCATCTTCGGGTAAACGATCAGTGAATGATGGCAAACCACATCTTGGTGGTCCCTGAAAAATTTGGCTGGAGTTAAGGAACAATTGGTAACGGTTTGGTGATAGAACCTACCCATCGCCTATGGCCTCCAGCTGCTGCAGCGCAGGATGCGAATAATAGAAAGATTGCAATCTTGATCATCTAGAATTAGGTGTATTTTTTTGTGTGATCTCTTGTTTCAGATGAAAAAATTGAAGCGAAGTGTTACGATCCGAACATGAACACAATTTACACACAAAAAGAGGATTGATCAAAGTTGGCATGTAGATCGCGCACGCTAAATTGCGCATAAAACTCTTTAGCGCTGGCGTTATGTGTGCAATTACACATAACCATGAATCGCAGAAGTAAGTATACGACCTATCTTTTATGGGCACCTACGCAAAATATGACCAGCGATACACTAAACTGAAGCAATAACTGAGCGAGAATCCTATTTCGATCATGTCACTCGGGAAAATGTTGGCTGGTTTTGGAGTCGATTGCGATGAGTGGCAGATCCGTGCTATAATTGCAATAGCGACGCAAAATTGCATAGTGGCAATCATTTTGACATGGCTATTTGAACTCTGACATTTACTCCATCATTGACTTTCCGCTTACTATTTAGGTATTGGATAGATGCGAAGTAAAAATGAAGGCGATATGAAGGTAAAAGGACCAAGAGTAGTCAGCCTCGCCATTTTCGAGAAAAATGATTTTTATAAGATGGATAATACATCTTTCTAAAAATTCAAAACTTTTACCATGTATCGTTTATTCGTTGACCGTAACGACTGCTGACCGCGCGGCGACCGCTGCGCTTGCATGATGTTTTCGTAGAAAAGATGAATAGAAAGAAAACAGAGGATTCTTCTCATCTTTATAATGTAGAAAAGAAACAAAGAATTCTTCTCATCTTAAGCCACGGTCCAACTTGTCATTTTTTCGCAAGTTTAGAAGGCACGCGTCGCAGTCGCCACGCGGTCGGCAGTCCGTACAGTCAACGAATGAACGATAGGTAAATGTGGATAGTTCGTTTGCCATATTTCAGTCGATCGGTTGATTTGAGCTTAGGCTCTCCTAAACAAGCTTTCGAACACTAGCACTGTAACGTATTTGATAAAGATCATTTTATAAATGAGTATAATTCTTGTTTCCATATAAAGCTTGCGGACTATTATGCAGGAAATATCGAGCGAATTTCTCTGAAATTGTTCCAACTTTTCATTCTAGCCCTTTGATCACATACATAAGTGCTCTTCGACAGTACACGAACCTCCCACAATGTAATTATTTTCGATACTTTTAGTATAAGGGAGCCTTATTGGTCGAAGTAGCTTTTTCACATGGCCTATATCGCTGAAATTGTTTTTGAATGCTGATTTCAAATCTGCTTTCTATTTCTGCAACAGTTCTTCGAAAGAATTATATGCATTTGAATGTCAGAATTTGTCAAGCTCTCAGTGGCAAATTAGCAAAGAGCTCTACAAAAATATTGTAATCGATATACGATACAACATCGATTCCCACTTTCAAGTGTTTTTCTACAGCTTTTCGTTGATTTTACGCCACTTAAGACTCAAAGAATGTAGACCACTGAACGCTCATCATTTTTCTCGCAGTATAGTTTTGCGAAAATGGAAAGCAGATTTGGAATTAACGTTCAAAACGCGTCTTGTGATATAGGTGTCATGTGAAAAGGCCACTTCGACTATAAGGCATTCCTCATAAGATCATTGTTTACTAGCATCTCCATGTTTGTAAGATACAAAAACAAGATTAGAAATGGCATTGAACAGGATTGATATTGTTAGTCAACAAAGACTTTTTTACGAAGTCTAATGTAGTTACAGCACTTTTTACGACTGTGTTGATCTGTGATGACCTAAAAATATTTTCGTTTTGGTACATGCGTTACGTTTTCTTTATCGTTAAAGTAAAAGTTGAGATAGGAAAGCTAATCATTAGTTTTTGACTTTATCCCATATTTTACGTTTTCAGTTCACTTCTAAGATAACCTTCGCAAATCAAAAAAATCGTAGTTTACAAATAAAATGAAGATATCCTAAATGTTATTGAAACTGGAAGGTCTTCAAATAATCATCAAAAGAACTAGTCTGCTGCCGTACCAATCACAACTAAGTAAACATTAAAAGACTTTTATTGAATTGATCTACCATCCAAAAAAATATGGTGTTCGTTCATTGCACAATTGTATCCACAATCACAATGAAAATTATAAACATTTATCGACAAAACTCCGAATTATTTTCGTCCATGATGCGAAGAATTTGCTAGAGATTACAAGTGTAAAGTTATCAGTTATGAAATCTAGTTATGGAAGTTTTGCAAAGTCAATAATATTGGACGGACAAGTTAACCGTTTTCAATGACATATTAACATTACAAATTTTTTCGCAGCAGTCTTACACTTGTTTGCACTTAACAAATGTGGAGTTCTTCCCGCATTTCCAATATCGGGACTATCTCAGTTGAATTTGTTACGTTTCAATTGATAGTATTCACAGTTGAAAAGATTGGTACCATATTCTTTGAAAAATAAGATTCCGCTAGACGGTTCCATTCAAAAGCATGAGTTTGCATGTAAATCACAAGAAAATAAGCTACAACAGGTGTTTCTTTAAAACGCTCACAATCTCAAAAATATGTATTGAACGTTTAATCGTCAACAATTTTCTTGTCATGAGGTCCTTGGAGAAGCATTAGGTACCATTCTGTAGAGCTGGCTACAACTTTTACGGCATGGAACGTCACAGATTGCTCTTCAGTACTGTGGGATTACGGTAGGAACTTCCCTTATATGGCTTCACTGTGAAAAGCTGCCGTTTTGAATAATTTTAGTTTAAATGGACGCTGAGTCTGGTACTCAACATTGTACAAGATTGTAAGCTTTCTAAACGGTGTGACCACATTTTTTCAGGAACATCGAAAAAATGGCTGTGCTGCTGTTCACCTAGCATAAAGTTCCAAAGAAGCTTGTGATAGAATGCAAACTTCATATTTGGACTTAACAACTCAAATTAGCTTAGTGTGAGAGTTTCCAGGCCGCTTAGGTTTCTTTTTGAGGCAAAGAATGGTCTATGGCTTAATCTCAAAGTTCCTACCGTAATCCTACATATTGGAGAACGATTAACGATTCGGTCTAAGCCATAAATCTAAATTGATGAAGCCAGCTTTACGTGGCCCCTAAAGCTTCTCGAACTTCATTTCAAAAAGTTATTCGCAATAAAACGTTCTATACATCTTTTTGGGGCACCTTGTAATTGGAATCGAATTCGTTTCCATAGTTAACTTGATCAAATTAACCAATTAACTATACTGATCCAATTGAGAAGTCAATCAGTACTTCATCCCACTTTCTTCTTCGGATGAGACTTACTTTCAGGTTTTGGAAAGTACTCATGCCAAAATATTTTCCAGAAAAAGTTTCATCAGAACGGAGCTAATGTCATGTTAGGGCAATTCTTTGAATGTGCACAGGTAGGAATTCAAAGGACAACAAGGCCGCACTAACCGCGTTCGGTCGTTGTGCTAGATTTGAGAGTTTATCACCATGAACGGAATTTCTGAAAAAAAAACCGAAAAATAGAAAGTCAAGATTCTTAGAAATACAAAGAGAAATCTCAGTTAGGAATCAGTGCATAATCGGCATTGTATAATCGACTTATTACCTCTTGTGACAATTTTCAATTCAAAATTCAAATTAGTTTAATCGGAAAATTGGGTTTCATCAATCAAAATCTGATAGTCACAGGAATTTAGGAATCACAGAATTTCGTTGTAAGGGCTGCTGACGTCAATCCTCTTCTTTTAACTCTTGCAGCCGCTCCCGTCCCAAAAAAGTTTGGGACTCCACTGATGGGGGAATAAGAACACCACTAGCTCTATTACGGGAATCCAATGTCAAAATAAAATCGTTGAAACGTGTTATTAATAAAATAATGGCTAAAAGCAAGACCGCAGCCTTCGCTCCAGTGCATTGTATACACGGCAACCATTGCTCATTTAAGACATTATTATGGGACCTATCCTGACATTTTAGCTTCAATTGCTGCTTCTAAATAGGGACGAAATCTCGAGAAAAGCGAAATTGTACAAAAGCACCAGGAAAATTAGAGAATCTAGAGGTTTATGAGCTAACTAGATGTTTATTGTCTTGAAATTGCTCGACTCGCCTTGGCTATTACCTCCACTGGTTTTATCGCTCAATCGCAATTACGCAGAGCGAAGTTCGAAGAGATTGAGTGATTTTTAAAGGAAAATAGGAAATCCTTTTAGAGCGTTTTCGAAAAACGTTTTTGATAATGTCTGTTTTTCTCATTTCTTATCCTGTTACTGGTTGCAAAGGTATAAAAAGGAGGGGGCGGAAACTTTTGCTGTACTTGTTTCTTCACTGAATTTCGAAACAATGCACTGCGATTTAGAGGTTTCTTGAAAATGGTTTTTTTCACCAATGGCTACCTTATGGTCTATGGAGCCAATTTCTGTATCTGATAGCCATGGTTGTATCCGAGAACACGAGAAAAAGTGCGATTTGGGGTCTGATGACTTTTTAACTGATTTTTGAAGAACGAGCGAGTCCTATCGATTGCTAACTTTTGGGCTGGTACGGTAAAGGGAAAATTTATCTTCAAAGAATTTTTGTTAACGAAGAAAAAAATTTTGTTTGATTCATAGATTGATATAGCATATGCACACTTCTCTGATTTTTTAAAACAGAGGTAATGAATTTAATCAATAACTAAACAATTTTTTAATGAAATAAGCATTGCATGCTTGGTGAAACACAGTTAAGTTAGGAAAAATGAGGAGCGTAGGTACAAAACCTAAACTGTACCCAAATACATTTGAGGCTGTGCCTGAAGAGAACGGCTGCTGCATTCTTATAAACCAAAGAGTTGGACTATTCTGCGAACTTGATTGATGTGCTCGATCATCTCATAAATTGAAGTGGCAGAATTCCATAAAGAAGTTTTTTGAGAGCGCGGTTTTCTTAGAGACGGATCTGGTTTGCTTTTTTTTTTCTTCAAGGTTTTCAAAGTGTTGCTCATCAAATGCATAATTGATGAATTACTTTGTCAAACTCGAATACTGGTAAGCTGTTTTTGTGTATCTCAAAATTATGGAAATTGAACAAGTGTTGTATTGAGAAGACAGCAAAGGAAGGGGAGCTCAGGGATCTAAATAAGAAATATAATATTCCTGACTAAGGAAAGAGATCTTGATGGCTGAGTAACGTGGCTGCGAAGAGTCACAAAACCAATTTTGAAGAAGAAAAAAGCCCTTAGCGCCAACTAAACACAAAGTTCTCAGAACAGGGGCACCGCTGTTGGTTTTTATAGAGCGAATGATATCATTTGGCTTACATTCAGCGAATTCTAAAGGAAAAGAGGTCAGTTGATCGCATAAAGCTGGGCCAGCATTGTTGCCGACCAGAGTTGGCCGATTACACACCACTGTAATCAAACAGTGATGTGTGGTGGTGGACACTGAACGAATTCGCGGTGGGCGGCCGATTTGAAGAATGGGGCTAACGACGAAAAACGAGCCGATAGGCTAGATAAGGTTAGCCGAATAGCAAAATAAAGATGTGATGAGTCATGAGCATCATAACTTATGACAACGGGCTAAGAATCGTCACCAATTTCTGCGGGAAGTCCTCTTTGTCCCTAAACTTTGAACGTAAAAAAACCTTCAAAAAACGTTTCACCTTTTTTCTCATGATTTCAAACAATGCCCAGGTTTCATGATCAGAGAACGTATAGAATATTTACAAAAGTGTTTGCAATTGTAGAGAAGTCAGCCTAGTCCGTCATGGCTGGGTAAAAAAAGTCAATGAAGCGAACCCTATGATCTCAATAGCATGCGTGGCTGCAACAAGTTAGTCCAAATAAATGCATTCATGCATTTCTCGTTGAATTTTGGAGGATTTATTCATTGAAAGAAAGGTCCTTTCTCATTAAAAATGTTGTTGCTCGGGCTTAGTACATCAACTATAGCTCTGCAGAAAATATTATCACACAAATGCAAATTTGTAAAACTGGTGCTCTGGCCAATCAGAATCGACTTGCGGTTATTTACAACTGTAAAATGTACCAGTTTTTCATCGCTTATACAAAGCGATTTGAGCGTTTCACAGTCGGCTAAACGAAAGTTGGGAGTAAATTTCATATTTTTCTCTTTTATAATAGTACCCAACACCTAATATGTAGTGGTAATTTTTTGTGTAATAACGAGTCGCCTTTCAATAATGATAAACGAAGAAATATGAATGTTTTCAATGAGAATAATCAAGACTGCGCAGTACGAAATTATTCAAGTTAAACTGACTGTTTTCTAGTGAGAAAGTCATAGGATAACGTTTGTCTTCGCAAATATCGTAAAAACTTCCATCGTGTAAGTTTTGCGGTGTTTGCGAACTTTTTTCAATAAATAATTGTCGTGATAAACAAAACATCGATCACTGTTCACAAAACTTCTTGTCTCTTGGCTGCATTATTGTGACAGAAACGATTTTTGGTGAGTGCAGGTGTCATTCAGAAGACAAAACTAAGGAATAATAGAGTAATTTCTTACGATATTTTCGTAATTCTACGACACCATTTTCGCCACTATTCATTCTTGTCTGGGCGAGCGATTTCCTCAGTGCTCTATCAAAAACTAAAAAGCAAAATGCGAGTTCAGCTAAGCAGAAAAAAGTTTCCAGCAAGACACTGGATTTAACCGAGGATAGTGACGGACCGAGGGGAATAGTGAGACGGGCGAAAATTTAGAAAATCACTTACATGAATCGTGAAAATGTGCAAAGGACTTGTCTATACTTGTGTAATTAAAATAATTTGCTGAAATTTTTTGAGAATTCAAGTTAGTCATGCATTTTCGGAAGCGGTTACGAGCCCCATCGGCTTGCGCGTAACGCCATACACCTTTGAAAATTTTTTTTCTCTTTCCCTTACCCCAAATGCAAGAAAGCCTGAAATTGTCCCAAGGATTTACTTCATTTAGTACAGTTCACTACTTCTTTTCGATGAGATTATGACTGGGTTTTGAATCTTAGGAAATCTCAGAATTATGTATGATCACCTAGGCACTTGGAGAAAAAGACTTGTAATTGTTATCTATGTTGAATCTACTTAGTATTATTTGATGCTGAATTGAGATTGTATCTCTATATTTACAAGGAAAATCTTCAGATCTCAATGGTTGGAAAACATATTTGCAGTAAACAGCCATTTTTTTGCTGCGCGGAGTAAACAATAAGTGGATGCGCTGCAAAAGGTGGATAGTGCATATAAAAGTTACAACTTTTGCGGTAAATGTCATCCAATCAAAAACTTTTATCTTTTGAATGAATGCCACTTCTTTGCTTAGAATGCTAATCCTGCTACTATTATACTTGAGTGAACATCTACGCTTTGCGTTCAATTTTTTTTCTTCAGGAATAAATACCAGATTGGAACGAAAGTTCGTTTGCAGCGAATAGTAAACGTAAACCGTGAATTTTCTGATACCTCTTAGATTACCTAGTATGCTTTAAATAAAGATAAAAATAGAAGAATCATCGAAGCTTCGAACAATGCAGGAAAATCCAGAATAGTTAGTTAAAGAATCAAGAATATGATGGTTTTAGGTCTGCTGTTTTTGGCATTACGAAAATCATAACTTTTGATAGAAAAGCTCGTGCGAGGCAATTTTTGCACAGCCAAAAAGGGGAGATCTTGTATCCTGTGATATCTACCATCTTGAATTTTCTTGCATGGTTTCTAGATTTATGGACTTGTTTGAAATCATCGAAGTTTGGACAGACTGATTTTTTCAATCTCATCTCTGCAGTCAGCAAACAGGGACCGAAGAGGTGCCCTTGTATAGTCAAAGGTTTACTCTTTCAAAGAGTGTTCATGAGTAGCATTATTTTAAGGAAAGAAAGAAGTTACGGTTAGATTAGGTACCGCAATATAGAATATTATTTCCGACATTTCAAAAAATTCTGTTGGGCTGTCATAGTTCAGTGTCCTCCGCAAAGTTTTTACCTCAAGAAGAAGTGGAATCTTTTATGAAGAATTTGCTTGGAAGGAGCTGATGCACAAAGAGGTCATCTTCACAAACGCAAAAACGTTGAGCTGTGAAGCAATTATGTAGCAAAATTCTACATTCGGCTCCATAACTGAGGACGGTGAAAATAAAGCGTGAAAAACAACACAAATGCCTTGCCTGTAATACTAATCGCCCATATAAACATTTTTGATGCATTATCAACGCTTTGGTGCATTAGTAACATTTACGCGCTAATAATAGTAATGTTCTAACGTTCCCTTTGGCAAGCTGTTAATTTGTTCAAACTTTGTATTCTTAAGTGCATTAAGAAGCATCAGAGGCAATATTTTCCGCAACCCAGCGCACACTCGATATGTAATATCACAAAAGGGAGGAAAATGCTCAAAAAACAAAAGCACTTTTTTCTGGAACCTCGTTTTGAAAAATCACAGGTTTTGTTGTTATGGCTGGTTATTAGTTTATTGTATAGTCGCCATACAGTAGCATGTGCAAAAGGGCGTTAAAAAGGGAGTTCTACGAAAAGAAAATAGAAAAAAATAAATTTTTTCACTTTCTGAGGCTGTTGGTAGTACCAATTCCTCATTTCACATCCCACTTCAGTTGAATATTTGGAAGCTGACTTCTTGGAAGGATGATGGAGCTTGAACCTCGATCCATTGATGGAGTCCCATCATGGATCGAGGTTATTTCTCAGCCTCAATAGTTTCTGGTGGTCTTGTTTTTTCTAGCAACCTGCCGAATTCATTATGCAAGTGTACGTACCTACGTTCTGTGTCCGTATGCAAATTTGTAGTGTTAATGTTTTTTTGTGTTTATAGTCGGTATCGTTGCCAACCTTAAAGGTCAATAAACAAAACGAAAATGTAGTATCAAAATGGAAGAGCAGAAGGATTTTCGTAATCACTTTATCGTATATTGTCAACAGGCAATCATTTTTTGATCTATACACCATACCCAAACGCTACCTGTTATTGAACCCACTGGTTGATGTCCTCTGATCCATGACTACATTCGAGGAAGAAATGCAGTTTTTCTGGTAGCTAACCAAGGAATGACCCAAAGTCGAAGTCGGCTTTGCAAATGAAATATATACCAATCTGAAGAGCATCGAGTGCTAATTCCTAAAATGGCTTTGTTCTTTGCTAAACGCTGCAAGCGCTGAGTTATTAGTGTTTTTTGAGCGAAAAATGATAGCAAGATCAAGGCAGAATTAATGGTTATGGTCTTTCCAGCGCTCAAATAAAGAAGGGTTGAGTACAGTATTTTAGACAAAAAGTTTTTCAAGCATGAAGTGCTGTGATATCCAACGCTGGACCATTTGCGCAATCTTGGACAACTTGTTCCAGTTGCGCATTCAATTTTTCTAGCCGAAAACTTGTAACCTAGCTCGTAACTCTGCGTCTAAAAGCGCTTGGCGGATAACAAGGACAGTTTTGGAATACGCGTTTATTGCTCTTTAGGAAGGCATATACTTCAACCCAAAGCCGTTTTCGACTTTGGGTCCTTCATCCTCTTGTAAGAGCTCACGTGTATTCAATAGGTAATTTAAGCAAAGCTAAGAAGCCTCTGCCATTATTCTCTGCAGACACATGAGATTGAGGGGATATCTTCCAAAGTTCGTACTCAGTAATCTTCTGAACAACCATTCAAATCATCAGAAAACAGTACCTTTCCGTGTCAATGTGGCCTAATTCTTTACTATATGCAAAACAAAAACATCAAACTTGGCCTAATTCCTGTGCTCATTCTGTTCCGTTAACGAGTGCATTACTAACTTAAGACAAAGTCAAGGCCAGTTGAATTCCGACGACCTTGGCGCTAACGGCGGCGAAGGTTAGCCTTGCAATTTATGGGCCGGCAGTTTGAGCGGCTAATTTGATAAGGACAAAAAACGACAGAAAGATAGTTTTCCTTGCCACTGAAACTTTTTCAAAGGTTTCTGCTCAACAAATGCGTGGGGACTATGTCAGCGGTCAAAGCATAATCTCACAGAGGGGCCTTCGCTATCTCAGTTTTGATAAGTTTTCAAACTTTGAAATTAGTTGTTTTAGGTTGGCTAATAAATAAGTTCGGTTTGACCTACACCTTCGAAATTATATAACAATTCGAGCAGCATCTATTAGGTTGGCTAATAAATAATTTTGGTTGGTTTTGCAGCTCCAACAGATGCTGTAGACAAACTTTTGTATCTAGTACCTCTGGAAAGAGCACTTCAATGAGAACTGAAAAAAATCTGTTCGAGTAGAATTCATTTTGCAATGAAAGAAATCCGCAGTGAAGTGAGAAAATCCCAATTTCTCATTGTGCGCAAATATGAGAAAATTTGGTCTTTTCGGTCAAAGAATTTTGAAATGGCGGATCACAACTTATTCATAGTCGTTAAACAGGGATTACTTATCTGCATCCAAATACCAAATTCATATTGTCCATATCAGTTAGAGTCAGTTTTGAAAACGAAGCGAAAGTTGCAGAATTGAGCTTTTTGAACTTCAGCCATGGGGCATAACTGTCTCCTGCTGATAATTCTATATTCTCAATAGTTAATATATCGTAGAAAAGCTTTGAACTACTTACTTACAAAATCATGGATAACTAGGAAAGTTTTTAAATTTTCATGTCAAACGAAATTATTTTTCAGCCAACCTAATATTTGAACAGCTTTTTTTTGTGAGGAGGTCGCTTAAACACTTTACTATCACATATCAGATGCTTAGTAATTTTTGTCTTTAAAAAATGACATTTATGTCCTTATAACCTTCTAAAAATTCGCGTTTTTGGATTTTTAAGCTCCATTCTCAGCCTGTAGTGAGTGCACAGACGAGTAATTTGGTGGTTGATACATACACAAACCTTGGCTACATGGCGAACTACAATGGAGATTGTGGTCTGCTGTTTGTGAATTTCTCCAAAATTGGGATTCCACGCATTTCCGCGAGGAAATCAGTTCTTGAGCCATCCAGATTGCTTGGATTTAACCATCTAAGGTTTTTCAAGTTGATGGAAATTTCAAAATTTGTTGTTCGGATGCCGACTGTGCCATTTCCACTCAACTTCGATTCGTACTTAGGAGCACGATTTTTTTTTTGAAAATTTGATGTAAATTTGATAAAATCTGACTGTTGCACTTTCTTGCACAATTTCCTTGTCAAAATAATGATAGTCGCTCAGAAACAGTTGACCATCCGATTCTCCTTGATTTGCTCCTTTCAAAGGTGCTAAACATTCTTATATAAATCAATTTATAAAAACTCTATAAACCGCTGAAAACGACCGAACTTGTTTTTTTAGCCAGTCTAATAGTTTGCAAAGCAATTTTTTACTTATGATTAATCAACTTAGCTTTTCAAATTGCATGAAAAAAATGAATTTTTTCTATAAAAATACGCAATAAGTATTTCTCGAATTTTATGAAAAAATGATAGCTTTTGATAGAGCCCATCGTCAGTACTTTAGTATAGAATAAACGTGAGAAGTCTACAAGAGGCGTCTGCCCTTTCATTTCTCCTCCCCCCCCTCTTCCCCCCCCCCTCCACCCAAATCTTCTGCCGCTCCTCCCGCCGAAAAATTACGGTGTGCGTCATGTTATGAAGTGCGCATTCTGGCCAATATCCAACTTGACAAGAATAGAGCATGAACCACATTGAACCTACAGTGGAGGGTAAAAAAATTTAGCTTATAATCTAAACCCGGTTGTTATCAAACTAATTTTCGTCAATCTGCTGGCACATTTCTGAAAATAATAATCTTGCTTTGGCTAAAACTTTTTTTAACGTCAGATAAAACGGGTGTATGTCAAGAGGGGCGATTTTCATTACCAGCTGGACAACAATTAGCCATAATAAGTGTTTTACAGCTTTCTAAAAATACATGAAATTTTGAAAAAGATGTGTGAGATAGTTGCATGGGTTGTTTGATCTTGATATTCTAGAAGAAATTCAAAACAGCAATTCCGAAGGTCAAAAACCCTTGAAAATGCATTAAACAAATTCGTAAATATGATTCACCATATAGGGACTTATCTACAAATCGAAACCAAAGGCTCCTCAAGATACACGTGATAAATGTGGACAGGTGCAGACACTAATGAAATGTCCGCAGATGGTGCTGAACACAATGATTATGTCGCATCGATGTTTTTTGAGAAAAAAAACCTCTCTCTTCTTTGTGTCAGACACCTATGTCCAGTAGATTACAAAGATGCTTGCTCGCCAAACCTCAGAGTATGACGTTAATCAGCATTTCCCCACTTCTAGCAGCCTAAGGAGATTTTTTCTGCTGTCTCAACAAGGATATAAAGAAGGTTTCATGCCAAACATAGTGAATCCACCTTACAAAATTTGAGAAAAATTTTGTAGTTGAAGAAGACAAAGAATCGCTCCTAATACCTGGCGATAGTTGTCGCTTTCGTTTCGTGTGTCCCGCGTAAATTCCAATTCTGAACTGGATCAATGGCTCGGCGGAATGCCAGTAATAGGGCATTTGAGTCAGATTTTCAGGAGTTGGCGCATGGGGACTGGAGAGTGAGTCTGGGCTACGGTGTACTTGGGGGGTTTATCCAATGCCAATGAAATCTAATAAGAGCCAGCTTTCCGAGCTAGTGCTTTTGAGGGTATTTCTCGAAGTTGAAAGATGTGATAGAAGTCAATGTTCACTTAAACTGCGATCATCAAAGCTCCTGCAGAAAATCAATTTTTCCTTTGCCGTGCTTATATTTTTTTGGGAGAAGGCTACTCCTGAAGTGCATGTAAAAGCGGTATATAATTCTTGTAAAATTTTTAGACGCTTTTTTTGTAATGGGCAGTGAATATTTATGTAATAAATAAATAAGTCACATCAATCGATGCTTATCCCCTTCGCCTAGCTGCACGGCGAAGGTTTCTCAGGTGGCGGCGACGGTGTGCAGCGCGTCTGCGTGCGGCACGGCGGCGGTTGCGACGCAGACGGCGGAAGAAGCGCTGAAACATGGTTTTTTTTACTTTAACAAAATAGCAAAATAAATTTTGGCTGTGTCTTACTCTTCGGGCAGCAACGGCACGTCTTCGATGAGCACGGCGGCGACGTCCACCACGTCGTCGAACAGCGCGCTTCACTCGCGGAGCGGCGGCCTTCAAAAGAATTGTTAAAATTTTTCGAAAAACAAAAATATTTCATAGTTAAATCCTGGAAAAAGAGTGCAAGAAAATATAAAGTTTCAACTTACATCTACTTCATCGCTATCGTCATCACTATTGTTGCTAACTTCAACTTCGGTCTTCAAAATGCTGTGAATCTAAAATTGATTCCGCACATTTACTACAGCAGTTTCTTGGAGGGACCTACAATAGCGCGATCCGTCTCGACAGTGATTGCATCGAGAATACCCTCCTCTTCTAAACGAAGTGCGCGTAATTTTGCCAGTACTGCCTTGCCGGTCTCGCTAAGTTCTGTCTTGAAAAAAAAGAGTTTAAAGATATTTAAGGACAGCAGAGTAAAAAAACTGAGGACCCATCCGACCCTCAAAAGGTTAAAAGTACCTTGCTCACTTCGGGCTCTTTTTCAGCAAAGGCAACTGCTGCTATGGCTATGAGGCCAAGCGTCCAAAAAAGAGATTTCATCTGTAAACGGTAAAATTCAGCAAAAATGGTCTAGCAAATACAAGGAATCAAAATGTTTTTGAGGTAGTAAAGAACCAAACAAGCAAAGTCCTTCTAAGAAAATGTGTGCGAAATCGTACGAATTAGAGGTTTCAAAAACGTTTAAATCAAATTCTGCAATCTTTTGAAGAAATTTTACTCCATAAAAGCAGAGGATAATCAAAGAGCTTTAAGAAGATGTGAAGTTGCTGCTGAGGTGTATATGCCACGCGCTACTTATATATCCCAACTTATGATCCATGCAAAACCCGACAAAGAGGTTCTTTACGGCATACGTCGCAAAAAAAATCGGACCCCTTAGCACAATGCGATCGCTATCCGAACGCTGGCATCAAGTTCCATGACGTTGAGTTCCTTGATGGATTACTCTTGGCAGATCAAATTGCGCGGATAAGCTTCAGGAAAAGTGACATGGTGAGCCAAATTCTTGGCGCGCAGATTATGAGCTGAGCTACAAATGTGCCAAAACTTTATTTTTGTTAGCAATCAAAATAACGCTCTTATGAGAGCAACAAAAATGAAGCCTTGCATGACCTGGAAGAATTACTAAATGATTCGCTGAGCTCAGAGAAATGAAGATAAATTTTTGATGCCATATATGCATACCCTCGATACATAGAGCCACATACTCTGGTAACCTTCACTTTGAGGGCTATGAGGGGACACAACCTTCACCTGGTAAAAAAAACAGAAGTTATCCGGGGCGAAGCCCCGGATGTTATGATCCTGACTTCGGAAGAATGTGAATGAACCAAATATAGGAAAGAATGTTTGAAGAATGTCTCAACGAAACCGAGAAATTGCTTTTTTTAAAGCCTTTTTTACGCTGAAAAGAGAATTTCTGTGAAAATTTCCTCAGAATTGAGGACAACGTTCCTCATTTAGCCTCCCACTTGACCAAAAATGAGTTTCAAAAGTTTGGAAAGCTGTTGGAGTTGAATTAAAATGAGAAACTGCGCTTAATTGTGCACAGAGAGTCGCGCACGAAAATGCTGGTCTATCTCGTTAGTAAGTCACTTTTAAAGCTTGGGACGTTGTCAGCTCTCCTCGTCGTGTCATGACGGTCAGAATGATATATAATGTTACAGGGTTTCGTTGAGACCCCGCGGAGATCTACGACCAGAGCCAAATGCCCCGTCGGCTCTGGTCTGTCTCCGCTGCTCGTCTGCGTCTCCGCGCGCTGCGCGCTACCTCGCTACCCCAAACGCGGGGCGCGGGGCATTTGGCTCTGGTACCCTTTTCTTCGCTGTTTCGCACCCAATTTTGGCAAGCTTTATATCATTTTGAAGCTCTTGATCTATATTTTTACGCTGACAACGTCCCAAAATCACATTCCTTGATTTGGGCGAGAAATCCGGCAAAAACCTTGTTTTCGAAAATCTCTTGTTTTTCTTCTAGTTTACCTCTGTTTACCCGGTTTTTTTGTGCATTCTATAGATCTTGCTTCTGTTCATAATGCAGACAACCACCCAGCCTTTACCTCTTCGATTATTGTGGATTTTTTTGCGAAAAATCGTAAAAAGTGCGTTTTTCTTTAACTTGTTCTGTTTCATTGCCTTCGCATCGATTTTTTTCCAGCTTGGGCGATTGTTGCTCAGAACAATAAGCGCAACAATCCAGACAACGTCCCAGGAAACAGGAACGTCAATGCGGGGGTAAAAATTTAAAGGACGCATCAAAAATCAAAACCCCTTGTTGCGAATTGCTGGTCCTGAAGCGAAAACTTGCACTTTGAAAAGCCGCCAAATGAAAGATTTCAAGCCTCACTGCAGCGTTTTTATCCTATTTTCAGCAGTTTCTTTTGCTTTTTGTATCTGTTTTGTGTCATTTTCTCTTCTCTGATCATCTTTAAACAACCTTCACTATTTATGACGTCAGATGTTCAAACAACCTTCACTTTTGATGCCCTGTCTCTAGACTATCGAAGGTATGCATATATGGAAACTTGCACGCTTTGCATAAGATACAGATATGATCTAAGGTTATCCGCACTTTTACATTGCTTGTTTGTGTTTTTTCAATGTTTTGTTTTTGTCCTACAGTTAATTTGAGCAGGACTTATTCAGCAAATTTTATGCTTTCATACCACTTCTTTTGTGTAATATTAGGCTGTCTCGAAAGTTTTGTCGGTTTTTTCAAACCGCTATAAAACCATGCACAATAAAGACCTGAATGAGTTTCAACATGCATTCAATGCAGCTTTTTCTTCTCTTTCTTGCGGATACATTTTCAAACCACGATCTTGTATGCTTTTTGTAATAATTGCCAAAATTCTCCACCCGTCATTTCTATCTGCTCAAAGTTCGGCTAGTTTTCAAAATTTTCGCTCTAAAGTTTCGGGAGGATTAAGTGTGGCCCATATAAAAGCAATTCTTTGACTATACGGTAATTTTTAGATTCTCCTAACCTGCCTTTTTAGCTTCAAAAAAATTATTTCTTCGGAGGTCTCGATTTTTGGCTAAGTCATGAAACACGCAACTGCGGCGAAAACATGGAAAATTTTGAAATTTCTGCGAATTGAAACTTGATTCTTATTAAACATTATTTATGCAATGTATGAGTGATTGTTTGATTTGCTTTCAAAAATCAGCTTTTTGGAATTTTAGGGAATTTTACGTGGTAGACGTAATCAAAAAGCCGCGGTTTTTCTCAAATGAATATTTTTTCAAGGGTTTGATGAACTTAGCCCATGTAATCTAAAACAAGCACAATATAGCTAAAGATCTGCTCTACATAACAGTTATTAGCACACTTTAAAAATAGCGAGAGAAGAATTTTATTTCAACCTAATATTTTGAGTTCAGATGGTAATTAGCCTCATAGACTCCTTCAGCTCAGAAGTATGCAAAGATGACAAGGCTATTTATCTGACTGGAGTGTAAATAAAGCGTCTAGCTATATGAAAAGAGAACCATTCTGAACGTAATTCAAACAACTGTTGCAATAATTGCTATTGCTACGAGGTGGATTTCTAAAGGCCGGTACTAACTTTTTGCAACAGTTTTGTGCATTCGTCCTCTGTTAAAGACAATGTCCCGGTAGATTTTGCATTTCTATCTTTTACATGCTCTAGGCCTTTTCGACACGTACTCGGGTATGTACTTGGAACCGGGTGAAAAGACAATTTTGGGGTGTTTACTCAATTTCCAAAAAGCAGCTCGGACGAGAGTTTAACGGAAAGTTGTGAGGACCTGGCACGAAGACCCTGCTGCCTGCAATTTTTGCTCTGGATAGCACGCACAATGCGGGAGCGATTGCGATGTCTCAAACCTAACCCGTAAGCGAAGCCATCCAAGCCGATGGGGCTCCGCAAAACAGGGTAAATGTTCTGAATCCTTCGAGTGAACCGGTTGGGCTGAACCTTTTTAATTATAATTTCACCCTGAGAAGGACTCAGCCAATTTTTACGGGAACTACCGGGCCCTTTTATCAATCTATTTATCTGCTTACGTACAATTTAGAAAATAAAACCTACCAACCTATCATGTCCCAACCGAGCATTTTCCCATGTTCATGTAAGCAGTGGCGGTTGGTAGCTTGCGGTGGCTCTATGTGAGTCCTGTGGTAGGCCACTCTATTCCTATAAGGGTGCTGTTGGCAGGTTGTATGCGGTGCACGAGAGGATGGAAACAGTGAGGTACCTGGAAGGCGACGTGAAGCACTAGTCGGGAAGGTTTAAAAATGTCTTGCTGAGCGAGTGTACTTGGGCCTGGTTACCCATTCTGTAAAGAACCGGGGATGCCAGCTAATGTCTCATACTTTCATGAGGCGATTTCTTAATCTGATATTTCGAACTCCATGTACAGGGCGTCCCAAAAGTATGTATACACTGTTTGATTATTAATATCTCTTTTCCTTAGAAGGCTTTTGCCTGCCTTCAGGTACCATTTTGTAGTGCAGGCTTAAGCTTAGATCTAGATATAGAGCAAATCAATTGTTTTCGTTCACTACTGTAGGATTACGGTAGGGAGTTCAAAAAATTTTGAGCCATTAGGGTCCTATTCCGCTTTGAAAGGCAAACCAAACAATCTGAAAACTCCTACACTAGGCTAATTGAAGTCGCTAAAACCGAATATGAACTTTGCATTTGACCGCGATGCTTGCTTTACGACTTATACCCAATAAACCGTAATAGCTGTTTTTACGATGCTCCCTAAAATTGCAATCACACCTTTGAAAAGGTTTAAAAACTTCTAGAAGGTTGAGTAATGAATTTAACACATGTAGTAATCCTGGTACACCACTTTTCAGATTTTTTGGAAACTTTTTTGAAACTCGACTAGTCCACTGTGACGCTGTAAGCCAAAATTTCCTATCATAATCCTACTGTATCGAAAAGTTATTTGTGGTTCGTTGCATACTGTAAATCTAAGTTGAAGCTCTACAAAATGGCACCTTAAGGTAGGTAAAAGACTCCTTGGGAAGAGAGATATTAACGATCAAACAGTATATACATACTTTTGGGACACCCTGTATATAGCATAAGCATATGAGCCTTAGATACTCGTGCAAACTGTCTTCCCTCACTGCTAGTACACGCCTGGTTCAGACTATCTTAAGAACGTGAATTCTCGAGAAACAGTCATAAAGACTGAAAGCAATCCAAAAAATCAAAGAACACTTTCCATTTTCACTTCCGAGATCTACTTTTCGATAAACTTGACGCTTTCCGAGCAGGTGTTTGTAGTGCCGCACGTGCTATGACAAATATGCATTCGGCTAAACTTCTCTTTCTGAGAGTTCCTGTTTTACGAATGCCGAGTTGTATCCGCTAAAACATCCTGTAAATGGCACAGAGATGTGCAGGAGAGCTTGTTCTCCACCCGCCTGTATACAAAACCTTCATGGCTAGTCTATCTTTTGTCACAACACTTATAAACGCATTTTCTATATACTGCATTATTACAAAATCGACGAAACAAATGGGCTCGTATAAGTGGTGGCTGTTAACATATCAGCTA